TGGAGCCTATATTCACAGTGTTTAGAGGTGTAGAATCGGATCTCATCCTGCTATCTCCATCCTCCCTCCCCTCACAGGGCTCACCCCTCCAGCTACCCCTCCCCATCAGTTATGGAAGCCCCTGGCTGCTGTCTCACTGCTGGCCAAAGCCAAATCTCCTAAGTCCACCGCCCAGGAGGGAACCCTGAAGCCTGAAGGAGTTACAGAGGCCAAACATCCAGCTGCAGCCTGCCTCCAAGAAGGGGTCCATGGCCCTAGTCCAGTCCATGTGGGCTCTGGGGACCATGACTATTGTGTCCGGAGCAGGACCCCCCCAAAAAAGACGCCTGCCCTAGTCATTCCAGAGGTGGGCTCCCGATGGAATGTCAAACGCCATCAGGATATCACCATCAAACGTGTCTTGTCCCTGGGCCCAGCCACCCCGCTGCCCCCATGCACAGCTGCCTCCCAGAAGCCACTTGATCACAGGACTAGCAATGATCAGGCAGATCCCCCAGCCCCTTGCCTTGCCCCGTCCACCTTACTGTCCCCTGAGGCCTCACCCTGCCGGAATGACATGAACACTAGGACTCTCCCTGATCCCTCAGCCAAGCAGCAGTCAATGCGCTGTTATCGAAAAGCCTGCAGGTCAGCCAGCCCCCCAAGCCGGGGCTGGCAAGGCCGCCGTGGCCGCAGCAGCCGTTCTGTCAGCTCTGGGTCCAACCGGACCAGCGAAGCATCTTCTTCCTCATCCTCATCGTCGTCTTCCTCATCCCGGTCCCGGTCCCGGTCCCTCTCCCCCCCACACAAGAGGTGGCGAAGGTGAGCTCTGACGGCCTGTTAGGTTCTGTCCACTTTGGAAGTTCTCTTCTCTGGTTTACTCTGAAAGCTTTAGCACATTGAGTTTGATACTTTCAGGCAGTAAGGCTTCTATTTCTGTCTTTGGCTTTTGTCTTCTCCCCCTTTACTGGATTCGAAGGCGGCAAGCTCTGAGAAGATAGCTTCTATCCCCTGTTGGAGATTGGGATATCTCTGAGGTCTCCTCCTTCCTGGAGACCTGCCTTGGGGAGACAATTAGGGTTTGATCTTGACCACGTTGATTCCTTTGCATACTGTATCAGTCCTTATTTCTGCTATTTTCCCGGTAGTATGTGGGATGGTGGTCTAGTGGGTTGTTAATGGCAAACAGTCCTTCCTTTAATCATCTGTTGAGGAAACAGTCTGGGACAGTTCCTTTGAGTGTCACTGTGGCCTCAGCTATTTTCTGGCAGTACCTTTTTCTCAGTAATAGACCCAAATTTTTCCACTTAATCAATGAAGAAATCTTGGTTTTTGATGGTGAAGCTTATCTTCAGAAATGTCCCCTACTACAGGTCTAGCGCATCCCCTAAATGCCGTGTTCATAGTACTTCTATGAGACATATGAGGGGAGCAGGATCCCAGAGACCCAGGCCTGCCCCCCTTCCCACCCGCAGCTAATTGTAAGACCTAGGGCCCAGCCTTTTATCTCCGAGTCTCCATTTATTTTTATTCTTTCTGATTTGTTAAATATTTTTCTATTTTTAATTGCATAATTGAAAATAAATATTATCTGTGCCCAAATACTCTAGAACATCTAAAGTTCATGAGGTTCTCAGTTTGGTCATCTGTGAAGAGTTCTAGATCTCCTCTGCTCTGCTTTGCCTTTCTTTGGTCCTGAGCTTCCTGACAGGGAGGCAGGGCTGGGGCCAAGGTGAGGTAAGTGGAATATACCTGCACTGCTCCCAGCATTCCTGTGTGCCCCTTTGTTCTCCAGGTCCAGTTGCAGTTCCTCTGGACGTTCCCGAAGATGCTCTTCCTCTTCCTCCTCCTCATCTTCCTCCTCGTCTTCCTCATCCTCATCATCTAGTTCCCGAAGTCGGTCCCGCTCTCCATCTCCTCGCCGGAGAAGTGACAGGAGGAGGCGGTGAGCATGTTTTCAGGGAGTCGGTGCATCAGGGGTGCAGGTGCCTAAGAGTTCTGAGACTTGAGCTGCGTAATGTCTCGGGCACTGATGGCACCTTCTTCTCTTGTCAGGTACAGTTCTTATCGTTCACACGACCATTACCAAAGGCAGAGAGTTCTGCAGAAGGAGCGTGCAATAGTGAGTAGAGGAGCAGGTCCTGGGAGGAGAGGGCTTGTCCCTGAGCCATGACATGAGCTCAGAGAGCCGTCTGCAGCTATGGCCTTGGCTCATAGTGTGTCACTTTTCCTTGACCTAACATAGGAAGAGAGAAGAGTGGTCTTCATTGGGAAGATACCTGGTCGCATGACTAGGTCAGAGCTGAAGCAGAGGTTCTCCGTTTTCGGAGAGATCGAGGAGTGCACCATCCACTTCCGTGTCCAAGGGTGAGGTTGGGCCCTAAGGTCAGGATGTCCTGTCTCATTATCTGTCTTGATGCTTCTTTGTCTCTCCCCCTTGCTCTGGTGTGCTAGGCAATATAGGCACCTTCATTTTTACAGTTAGAGGGCTGGCAATTTGGGGAATGAGAAGAACCACCCCAGTCCATTACTGTACCCTGGCGAGCTGTCTCTTCTCTATGGCATGTGCCCAAATAGCCATGTCAGCCTCTGTCTCACCCTCCCCACCAGTGACAACTATGGCTTCGTCACTTATCGCTATGCCGAGGAGGCATTTGCAGCCATTGAGAGTGGCCACAAGCTGAGGCAAGCAGACGAACAGCCCTTTGATCTCTGCTTTGGGGGCCGCAGGCAGTTCTGCAAGAGAAGCTATTCTGATCTTGGTGAGTGGAGGGAGGCCCTGAGCCTTTGGTATCATCTCCTCCCTCAGAAGGTTCCCAGCCTTTTGAGAGGGGCGCTAGCTAGGCAGACTTGTCTTTCTCTGACGCGTGAAGAGCCTAAGGGGTGGGATGAGAGGAGAAATGGGTGCTCACTTGTCTTTTGACTTAATATCCAGGTGATTTTAGCTCCATCTATTATAGCCATGAGAGGTAGCTGGCCATTTGAGGATGCTGTGGTTGGGAGGTATACTCAGAGACCTTGATGTTTATCTCTCTCTACCTTTATAGACTCCAACCGGGAAGACTTTGACCCTGCTCCTGTAAAGAGCAAATTTGATTCTCTTGACTTTGACACATTGTTGAAACAGGCCCAGAAGAACCTCAGGAGGTAACCCTGGGCCCTTCCCCCCCACCCCCTTTTCTTTGGAGGTGCCCAACCTCCTCCATTCCCTCCCCCAGTCTAGGGGAGACAGCTGCTAGTGAGGAGATGACTGTTTTATAAAGAAATGGAAAAAAGTGAAATAAAAATGTGTTAAATCAGATTTTTTAAAAGTGGTATTTGTTTTTTATAATAGGCATTGAAACACATTAACTTGCATTCCTATGTAAGATGGATGGGGTTGAGGGGTTCCCCCAGTGTTTGGAAAATCAAAGTCACTATGCAGACTAATAAACATGAACTAGAGGGAACTGCCAAGTGCTGTTGTGCTTCGTTCTATGGTGGTAGTGCCAGACAAGTCACTTTCCCTCTCTGAACACAACAGGGACATGCTTACCTCCATTTAATTCCTAGGACCCCTCTTTGGTCAGGTGTAGAATCCTGACCACTTGAAACTGCTCCTCAAGAGTGTTGTCAGTGAAATCAGTCATCTAGGAGTGTACCTCTCAAACTTTAAAAAGGCAGTTGAATCATCTGGAGATCTTTTAAAAATGCAGATTCTGACTTCTGGGATGGGGCCTGAGATTCTGCATTTCCAACAAAGATGGTGCTACTGGTCCAGGAAGGAATTTTAATATCAAGGACCCAGAGGATGCTCACACTGTTGCAAATAATGGTTTTTGAAACCGAGGCTTGTGTGTATGTGGACCATAATAGCTTGAGCACTATGCTTGGCATTCAGCAGGTTCTCAGATGTTTAAAGAATGCATGCAGGTGGATAGACCTTTGGGGAACAGGGAGATGTAGGAATTATACCAAGGACAGGGGAATGCCTGAGAAAGGCAAAGGAGAGGTGTGTCCCTTGAGAAAGTGGATCCTTACCTCCCTGAGGGGCATGGTGGGAAAATAGTCAAGGGGTAGTGCATAGGACTGAAGGGATTGCTGTTTGCTAATATGAACTGACAAGATAGAACTTGGAATTAACTTGGCAGGCCTGTGCATTGATTGATAAATTTGAGTACTCATGACAAAAGGAGAGGCAGTTGAGGGGTTTTCTAGTTTTTTCACAGGGAGGGTTCATAGTGTGGGCTGTGCCCCAGGAGGTAGAAGGGTTATTTTCAGGATTATAGGTTTGAAGAGATTGCTGCTGTCACTCAGGTTTGGTGCACAACCCCTTTTTCCCTTCATGGAGCTGACCTAAGGCTGTGTTATGTAAGAGTAAAGGGTTGTCTCATGGGCAAGTCATGATTGAGGTAGGGGCAGTTTTGAAGGTCAACGTCTCACCACTACCACAGATAATATGAAGCGTCCTCTGTAATGGAGATGGGAGTGCAGAGTTTGGGGTGGTTATCTTGAGAAAGGGCCTCCCAGGGTGTTGGAGGCAGTGAAGATGAAGAGTGGGAGTCCACGGGCAGCGCGAATAGGGTAGGTTGGGAGATCATGTGACCAAGTTTAGAGGAATTCAAGATCAGCTCGGGCCCGCCAGCCCACTCATTACTCTGGCATCCAGATGCCAGGGGCGCGGGTAACCGCAGCACTGAGAAAAGGTGGCTCCATCAAAAAGGCAGGGCGCGGGAAATCCGAAGTTTTCCCGCCGCGGTTGAGGGCGTGGCCCCTGACGTCAGGGTTCCGCCTTCACAAAGCAGACTGGCGGGCTCCACCCTTACCAAGATGGCGACAGTCGCGGGACCGGAAAGCGTTAGTAGATTTCGGCTTTACCCTGTTTCCGAGGTGTGGGCGGGGCTGCTCTGCGGAGTGCGCCCGCCCCTTCCGCCGTGCCCCGCGCGGCGCGATGGCGTCACGCGGGTCCGCCCCTACCCCTCCTCTTCCGGGTTCCTGAGTCGCGTGCGTCGGCAACGGTAGTGACGCGTATTGCCGAGAGGATGGCGGACGCCGGTTTGCGCCGCGTGGTTCCCAGCGACCTGTATCCCCTCGTGCTCGGCTTTCTGCGCGATAACCAGCTCTCGGACGTGGCCAACAAGTTCGCCAAGGCAACAGGCGCTGTGAGTCCCGGGCATGATTCATGGGCTGGGGTGGGATGACCACAGGGCTCCAGGCCCTGACATTCTTAGGTTTGCAGGTAGGGAGGTCTGTGGGGTTCGCCAGCCCAGTGTCTGCCAGGCCTTTGTGCCTAGCACTCGGCGGTGGCCGGAAAGCCTGGAGTCTCGGCGTCTCTTCCACGATGTCTTACTACATGGCGCTGAGCTTTGTTGCTTTTTTTCTGGTGAGTGGGGCGGCGGTGGCCGCGTGGGAACCTCGTGGCCTAGGTCACGTGGCTGGCGGAGTGCGGCGAGGCGGCAGCGTCGTGCCCCACCGCAGGCATTGGAGGCTCCTGGTTCGTTCTTTGGGCTTTATGTTGGCTGATGCCGAGCGTGACTTGAACTTAACTCTCAATCGAATTTACCCGGGACTCAAAAGATAAGTAAAATTGCTTTAGAAATAATGAAGGCTGGAATTTTTGTTATTAAAGAAGAAAATGAACGAGTAGAGAAGCAGGCATAGCTGTTGGCTTGAATCTTTGATTTCTGGCATCAGACAAGTCTAGGTTTGGGAACATCCTCTGCCACTTTTGAAATGTATGATCTAGGCAGCTTGCTTAACGTCCCTGAATCTGTTTCTACTTCTATGGGGATGTCATCATCCACTTTATAGGATTTTTGTGAGTAACATGATATGTACCTATACAAAGTATATGCCTGGTGCTCAGGAAGCATCAGTGAGTGAAAGCTGTTATCTTAGTTATCATACCTTAGGATGTTCTAAAAAGAAGTAAAAGGAAGATGACCAGGAATGTGAAAGGTTTGGAATCTACATCTCAAGGAAAGCAGACATGACTGCATGAGAAAACACTTTGAGGGTAGAGTGGAGTGGTATGGTAGTCCTTAGCGGTCTTAGTCTTTGACCAAGAAGGTAGGCTTGTTCTTTGTGGTAGAATCAGGCTATGCAAGTTGAGAGTCAGATCGGCCTCAGAAAGGGCTGCCTTAAGCTGGGGCAGCCTGCCATGTGATCTGATACAGCTGCTTTCATATTGGAACTGTTTTGACTGTTAGGGAGGCTGCAGAGAGTGGGCTGGATGGAATTGGGCCTTTCAGAATCAGAAATCTTTTTTATGTGACAAAAACTAATCTCTGTGGAAGGTTTACTAAGGGCAAGATGCTATTTCCAGATGCTAAGCCCCTTATATGCATTATTTCTTATCTTTTCAACAAGTTAATAAGATATGTAGTGTCATCTATCTTATAGGGAAGGAAACAGTCTCAGAAAGATTAAATGATTTTTCTTTTAATTTTTATTTATTTATTTATTTTTGGCTGCATTGGGTCTTTGTTGCGGTGTGCGGGCTTCTCATTGCGGTCGCTTCTCTTGTGGAGCACGGGCTCTAGGTGCATGGGCTTCAGTAGTTGTGGTAGCACGCAGGCTTAGTAGTTGTGGCTCAAGGGCTCTAGAGCACAGGTTCAGTAGTTGTGGCACACGAGTTTAGTTGCTTCGCGGCATGTGGGATCTTCCTGGACCAGGGCTCGAACCCATGTCCCATGCATTGGCAGGTGGATTCTTAACCACTGCGCCACCAGGGAAGTCCCAGATTAAGTGATTTGCTCGGGGTCACACATTAATAATTTGCAGAGGTGAGTTTCACATCTACTCATCTAACTTTGAGCCAGTATTTTTGTATATACTGTAACGCCTTGCCATTTTTTTGGACACCAACTTATAATCTATAATCAGTGTAATAGCTGAATGCAATTATGTACTGAATATGTAACATAAATTTTTACTAATCTTCTCTTGGTGGATGGTTTCCAGTGATTTGGAATTATAAACCACGTTGCCGCAAACATCCTCCTGTGTAGATGTTTGTTTCGTGGGTAAGGATAAATTCTTAGTTAGTACACTGCTAGAGTAAAGGGAATGTACCTTTTTAAAAGGCTTTGATAAATAGGATTGACAGGTGGGGGAATAGATAGATGGTGCCAGAGACTACAGGGATAGCCCAAGTTTTTGATACCAAAAACTGGGAAATACATAAATAGAATATTTTTCTCCTAATTTTTGCAAGTAGGAGAAGTCTTATAGAGATGTAACATTTATATCAAATTAAAACTTTCTTACCCTGCTCTCTCTCTTTTCTCTTACAGACCCAGCAGGATGCCAACGCCTCTTCCCTCTTGGACATCTATAGTTTCTGGCTCAAGTAAGTCTTCTCTGTGCTAGTGTGGCTGTTTTCTCCCCCCAAGTAGCCTGGGCTGTGTTCTTTGGTTTGGGAAGGTCCTGACTCCCCAGGAGTTAGCCTAATCTACCTCAACAGGTCCACCAAGGCCCCAAAGCGGAAGTTACAGGCAAATGGACCAGTGACTAAGAAGGCTAAGAAGAAGACTTCATCCAGTGACAGCAGTGAGGACAGCAGTGAGGAGGAAAAAGCCCAAGGGCCTCCCGCTAAGAAAGCTGGTAAGACCCAGCAGGGAGTTGTGGTTCCAGGAAAAGGATTTGGAGCCTGTCTGCTAAATGTCTGGTTCTTACTGGGACCTGTACTTTTGTTCAGCTGTACCTGCCAAGCGGGCCAGTCTGCTTCAGCATCCTGGAAAGGCTGCAGTCAAGGCATCAGAGAGCAGCAGCAGCAGTGAAGAATCCAGTGATGATGAGGAGGAGGACAAAAAGAAAAAGCCTGTCCAGGTTTGCAACTTTGAGAAGGAAAGGGATTGGAAAGAAGAAACTAAAATCTTGGCTTTTAGCTTGATGGTGTTAGGTATACAACAGGTGATTACATGGTTTTTCAGGGAGGTTGTAGAAGTATGAGGTTTGGGAAGGATTATGTGAGGTTGAAGTTGAGCCCTGAATCTAGAGGAAAATCAACCCGTTCTGCTTCCCTGGCAGTATTGGGTTTCTCTGGGATACTGTCAGGGACTCCAAGAGTAAGAGAATATGTTTTATGGACAGGTACAGGGAACTCTAGACAGGGAATGGCAGCGACAAGGCCTAAAAAAGGGCACCTAGGAAGCTTTCTACCTTAGGATGTGCTTTGGGTGCCCTGAAACTCTTGCTGATTCTCCTGGTTGTGTGTTTTGTCACAGAAGGGAGTTAAGCCCCAAGCCAAGATAGTCAAAGCTCCTCCTAAGAAGGCCAAGAGCTCTGATTCTGATTCTGACTCAAGCTCAGAGGATGAGGTGCCAAAGAACCAGAAGCCAAAGACAACACCCATGGCAGCTAAAGCTCAGGCTAAAGCCCTAGCCAAACCAGGTATTGTTTATGTTCCTAGGAGGCTGGACTGGGGACCAGGTTGCCCTGGGGGCTGATGTGAAAATTCCTTAATTCAGCACAGGAGTGAAATGGCACTGGTTGTTGAACTAGAGGTATTGACTGGTGTCTTTTTTTAAAAAAAAAAAAGAAACATTTTCCTAGTAAGTAAAAAGTTTTATAGTTAGGGACTAGTAACTACAGAAATAGTCTGCAGTGTGGGAAAACATGTTTTAAAGACTTCAGAGGGCATATTCAAATAATTTTGCATCATATCATTTTTTGGAAGACAGGTTTATTCCTGAAATTGGGCAAGAAATTCATCCTTTGATGTAGTAAACCACAGCATTCTCCTTCATGCTTCCTCCAGAGGCAAGAGAATTGACAGAGTCCTAAGTTCCGTGCTAATAGGAAGGAGGTGTTTATGGCCTTTTAATGTCTTGATATTCCTTTTTTATTGTTGTTCATTAGTTCATGTCTTTTATTAACCAGTATACGATTATTTGTCTTTTGGTTTCTTGAAACAATAGATCAGACAACATTTGCCACAATAGTGTCTGTCAAAGTGGCTGGCCGTGGAAACTCCAGCACCGCATTCATCTGAAGGGCACTCCTGACGCAGGCAACTGATTTTGCCATTTTAATCCACCTTACAGTATTTCAGGACAGCCAGCTTAGCCTTCTTTCTCTTATGCCTTGTTCTTCTTGGGAGCAGTGTAAGACTTCTTCCTTTTCTTAGTACCACCACGAAGTCTCCACACAGATGAAGAAAGGACTCTTTTTTTTTTTTTTTTTAATTTATTTAGTTTATTTTTCGTTGAGTTGGGTCTCCGTTGCTGTGTACGGGCTTTCTCTAGTTGCAGCGAGTGGGGGCTACTCTTCGTTGTGTTGTGCCGGTTTCTCATTGCAGTGGCTTCTCTTGTTGCGGAGCACAGGCTCTAGGTGAGCGGACACATAGTTGTGGCACACGGGCTTAGTTGCTCTGCAGCATGTGGGATCTTCCTGGACCAGAGCTCGAACCCGTGTCCCCTGCATTGGCAGGCGGATTCTTAATCAATGCACCACCAGGGAAGCCCGTGGACTCCTTTTGAATGTTGTAGTCAGACAAAGTATGGCCATCCTCCAGTTGCTTGCCAGCAAAGATCAGTCTTTGCTGGTCAGGAGGGATTCCTTCTTTATCTTGGATCTTGGCCTTTACATTTTCTATTGTATCTGAAGGTTCAACCTTGAGAGTGATGGTCTTCCCTGTCAGGGTCTTCATGAAAATCTGCATCTTGGCGGCGGCGCCACTGCCCGTGGTGAATCCGAAAGCTGTCCTCGTACTCGCTTGCATTATTTCTTTTTTCTTAGGTACACCAGCTCGTCCAGCACCTAAAGTAGTCAATGGCAAAGCAGCTGGTAGTAACAGCAGCAGCAGCAGTAGCAGCAGCAGCAGTGATGATGACTCAGAGGAGCGGAAGGCAGCAGCCGTATCTAAGAAGGTAAAATGGGCCTTAGTTTCTAGCAGGAAGGAAGGGACTGGGGATGGGGAGGTAATTTGGGGGTCTCCATTGCATGGCAGGATTGGTTGGGTCAGTATTTCCCTGTGGTAATTGATTTTCTCTGTGTGATGCAGACTGTACCTAAAAAGCAAGCTGTGGCCAAGGCCCCAGTGAAAGCAGCTGCCGCTCCTGCCCAAAAGAGTTCCAGCAGTGAGGACTCCTCCAGTGAGGAGGAGGAGGAGGAAGAGCAGAAGAAAAAACCCATGAAGAAAAAACCAGGTGACTGGACACGGGGAGTCAAGCTGGACGTCTGTGACCAGGGCCCAATGGCAGGAGGACCTCTGCAGTCACCACGTGGACCTTGGCATGTGTCAGCCAGCTTCTCCCAGAGAAGGAGAAAGCCACGTTGCCTTTTATAATCTAGATTCAGAAATGGCATGCCATCATCTCTGCCGTAGTCTATTTGTTAGAAATGAGTCACTAATCCTAGCCCACCCTCAAGGGATAGGGAATTAAGCTCCATTTCTAGAAGGAAGCAGTATCAAAGAATTTGTGTACATATTTTAAAACCACCACACTGTCCCTTTTAAACAGGTCCCTATAGTTCAGTTCCCCCGCCTTCTGTTCCCCCACCCAAGAAGTCCCTGGGAATTCAGGCTCCCAAGAAAGCTGCAGAGAAGCAGCAGCCTGTGGAGAGCAGTGAGGACAGCAGCGACGAGTCTGGTGAGTCATCACCTGTGGTGACTGGGTCTGGAGAGTGTATGAGGAGTAGGGAGGGAAATGGTTCTGTCCCTTCTGCTTTTTTTTTTTGGCTGTGCCGCGTGGCTTTTGGGATCTCAGTTCCCTCACCAGGGATTGAACCCCGGCCACAGCACTGAAAGCCTGTAATCCTGACCACTAGGCCACCAGGGAACTCCTTGCATCCTTCTTTTCGTTGCCCCTGGTTGGATTGGGACTCTGGACCCAGCCTAATGCCATAGGTTCTCTCCAGATTCAAGTTCTGAGGAAGAAAAGAGACCCCCAGCTAAGGCAGTCATCTCCAAAGCAACTACTAAACCAGCTCCAGCAAAGAAGGCAGCAGAGAGCTCTTCAGACAGCTCAGGTAAGGCATAGGAGGCCCTCAGGGCAGTGGGAGCTCCAAGGGCTCCCCTCAGTCTGATTTGGGGAGATATTCACTCCATTCTCTCTGTCTAGACTCTGACAGTTCCGAGGATGAAGCTCCTGCTAAGCCAGCCAGTACCACCAAGAATTCCTCAGGTAAGCCAGCTGCCACTCCCAAGCAGCCTGCAGCCGCTGGCCAGAAGCCTCTGACCAGAAAGGCTGATAGCACCTCCAGCGAGGAGGAGAGCAGTTCCAGTGAGGACGAGAAGACGAAGGCTGTAGCCAGCCCTAAGGCCAAGGTGACGGCCACCGCAGCTCCGTCTCTGCCTGCCAGGCAGGCCTCTCAGGGTGGTGGGGACAGCAGCTCTGAGTCAGACAGCTCCAGCAGCGAGGAGGACAAGGAAGAGAAGACGCCTAAACCCCCAGCCAAAAAGAAGCCACAGAAGGCAGGGGGAACTGTAGCCCCTTCCAAACCAGCCTCTGTGAAGAAAGCAAAGGCCGAGAGCAGCAGCACTTCTTCCTCTGAGGACTCCAGTGAGCAGGAGGAAGAGGAGAAGCCCAAGGCCAAGGGCACCCCAAGACCACAAACCGCCAAGGCCAATGGCACCTCTGCACTGACTGTCCAGAATGGAAAAGCAGACAAGGACGGCAACGAGGAGGAGGGGGGCAAGAAAAAGGCAGCAGTGGCAGTTGCTATGCCAGGTCTGTATCCAAAGAACCTGCCTCCTGGGTTTGTCCCCCAGATCAGGATGGGCTCTACTCTTGGGGGTGGGATAGGGAGCCGAGGCCCATGACTGGCTTCCAGTTAGTTGGAGGCCCTCAGTGTGGGACCCTGGGAGGAGGGACAGGAAACTGGTCTCCTGAGTCTGGCCTTTTGTTTTGTAGGTTCAGGAAAGAAGCGGAAGCAGAATGAGGCTGCTAAGGAGGCAGAGACTCCTCCAGCCAAGAAGAAAAAGCCCCAGACCCCCAACACGTTTCCTAAAAGGAAGAAAGTAAGTTGCCTTATTTTCCTCTCAGGAGCTAGCGTTTAGAGTAGAAAGAAAAATTGCAAAGCACCTTGACAGCTCTTGGCCTGGCCTGGCATACGTGCTGTGGGTGTAGCTCAGGAGGGCCTTCCTGTTACATGACCACTCCATCCTGAATTTCCTACTTCATTCTTCTCCAGGGAGAACGAAGGGGATCCTCCCCATTCCGAAGAATCAGGGAAGAGGAGATTGAGGTGGATGCTCGAGTGGCAGACAATTCCTTTGACGCCAAGGTGAGGAGAGAGAGGGTCTTCACCATTCTTGAGGGGGTGGGGTGAGAGAGGGTAGCTTTTGGTTCTGGTTGGTAGGAGGTTCTCTGGGTTCGGGTTGCCTGGAGCAGGGAGAAGAAACTGACAGGGCCCTGGCGTTGTCCTTCTGTGTGCTAACCACCTGTCTCTACTTACCAGCGGGGTGCAACCGGAGACTGGGGGGAGCGAGCCAATCAAGTTCTGAAGTTCACCAAAGGCAAATCCTTCCGGCACGAGAAAACCAAGAAGAAGCGGGGCAGTTACCGGGGAGGCTCCATCTCTGTCCAAGTCAATTCTGTTAAGTTTGACAGCGAGTGACTGTGGACCATCTGTAACACAGCAGGGGTGATGATCTGAGACCACTCACTTTCCCCAGTGGACCTGGGAACCCTCAGCTCTATTGGGGGAGGGTCTCAGTGAGGAGAGCAGTTTAGATTAGGTCTGAAGGCTTTGCGTCGTAACATCCTCTAAGGTCCTTTTCTGTGTTTGTGGTTTTGTACAGATTTGTTTTTGAGTGTTGGGTAGCAAGGACAAGGTTAAGGGGAGTGTTCTTTTTTAAGAAAAATTGTTTTAGTTGTCATTCTCCCTGTTTTGTGGAAGTTCTCATACTGAGAAATTTGTATATTTTACATTAGATCATTTCTTATCGATTTTTGTTGTGGTTTTCAGAGGTGGGTTCACAGATTAAAATCTTAGCTATTTTCCAAGATGTGGTAAAGGTCACATTATGAATTTTTATAATTGGAGATTTCTGTCTATGGGAGTGCTTGTGTCCACATTTCATCCTTCCTACCCCTCAGGGCCCTGGTGAGGGGTGGCTAAGAATGGTTAATGTATGTATCTGTTAAGCATGAACTATGTACCTCATTCGTGGGGTCTAGGACTGAAGTTTTCAGCCAGCATGGACTTACCTACTTTGGGGGATAAAATTTACTGTTGTATTTCAGGCAAAATTCTGGTGTGGTGTGAATGCCGTGGGGTCAGTCTGAATATTTCGTTTGCTATAATTTTATTATTACATAATGTTTGCAATATGTGTTTTTTAATTTGAAAGCATAAACTTTTTTATTGTTCAAAGACAGTTTTTGATTGGCTTGACCTTTAAGAGTGTCGAATACTAAATTGAGGGCTACATCTTATTTTTTTTACATTTTAGAGAACAAAATAGCGTTAATTTAATCTGAAAAGCACATATCACTTGGTATTTCTGTCTTGGTAGCAGTGGTGACACAAAATTAGTTTCTTGGTTTCATTAACTCCTACATGGTTGGGAATCACTGATCAAGAAAGTGAAAGAAGAAAACGTATAATTAAAAACCTTAATCTTCAGTAGGAATTAGGTTATATTATTCAAGTGAATTTATAGGTAACCTGTAAATGGAGGATGAGAAGAATCGTTACACAGCATTTTATCTGGTAATACTTGAGTTAGATTGGTGTTGGGAGAACATCCTAACAGGATTATTGTGTCTTGTAGTTGGTGCACGGGAGCAACTGATGTGCCCCCTTCAGAACCTTGACTCTCAGTAACAGTGGAGGTAACAGTAAAAAAGATAAAAGATAAAAGAGCAGAGATACGACTCTTAGGCCAAGCAGGCTGATCATAAAGCTATAGGAGATGACTGTTGGCAGTGCTCAGCCAGAGTAAGATAGGGAGGAAAGTCGACGAGCTCTCCAAGTTCTCTGGGGCTGGTCTGTCCCTGTGTTGGGAAAGTGTGCCCTAGCTTTATGGATGAGGTGTAACTTAAGGTTAGCTTCCCCTTGTTTGGGTTCCACAGATAACCTGGTTTTCTGTGTCACTGCCTCTAGGAAGAAAATGTGCTCTTCACGCTGACATACGTATTCAGTCTGCATGGTAAAAGTTCTACATCTTACTAAAAAGTAATAAGCTGGCTGGTTTATAATGTATCTTGGGAGTTTTATTAATGTGACTCCAAAGCTCTCCCACCTCCACTCAGAACAGAATAACTTGGGTGCCAGTTGGAGGGCTGGGGCCCAGACCTGTGAGTTCACTGTGGAGCCTTCTTGACTATTCCTTATCTCATGATACCTTGTCTCATGGTGCCGTGTCCAGGCAATAGACCAGCCTGTGCATAGTCTAACTTGGGGATTGGCAAAATGGCCCATGGGCCAGATCCAGTCCATGGCTTGTTTTTGTGTTGCTCAGGAGCTAAGAATGCTTTTACATTTTTTAAAGGGTTTTAAAAAAAAAAACGTGACAGACTTTATGTGACCACAAAGGATATAATGTTTACTATCTGGTGTTTTACAGTTTGCAAAACCCTGGCCTAAATCAGTGATTTCACAACACTGGCTGAAAATTAGAATTATCTGGGGATCTTTTGAAAACACTGATACCCAGGGACCCATCTGCTGATCGGTTGAGTCAGATCCTGGTGCTCTCTGGTGGATTCTGGGAGTTAAGATTTTTTAAAGCTCCTAGGTGATTCTAAAGAGCAACCAGAGCTGAAAACCACTAATCTAAGAGCATTTGAAAAGAAATGAGTTGGTAATTTTTCTTTCCTCCCCTTATGCTTTCATTTTCAAATGTACTTGTTAAATCTAATAGTATAAAGTAAAAATTAAATTTCCGTTTTATCCCCATTTTCTGGGACTTGATTCTTTTGTCTCTTTCCAGAGAGTTTCTCTGTGTGTACTACTACATGCATCCTCTCCCCTTTCTCCTCACACATATGGAGTAGCTTGCTATATGCAGTGTTTCATAAGTTTGGAGCTCATTTTTAATGACCCCATTGCATGGAAGTAGCATAAAATATTTTAAGTAGTACCTTATTGGTAGCTGTTCAGGTTGTTTTAGTGTTTTGTTATTATAAATAGTGCCGTAGTGGATATTTTATATGTGAGACTGAGTATTTGTGTGGGTATTTTTATAGGAAATAGTCTAAGAGTGATTGTTGGGTCAGAGGATGTGTACATTTAACGTTTGTTCATCATTGCTCTCCAAAACCATTGTACCAACTTGTAGTTCCAACAACACTTTATGAAAGTACCTCTTTGCTTGCCCTCTTGCCAACACTTAAAAAAATTGATCTTTGCCACTTGGATAAATGAAAATGCTCAGTTTTCTAAAAATTGTGGTAAAAAACACATTAAAGTTGCCATCTTAACCACTTTTAAGTGTATAGTTCATTAGTGTTAGTACTGACATTGTTGTGCAACAGACTGCTATGATTTTGACTACTTTAGATATTTCATATGAGTGGAATCAGACTGCATTTGTCCTTTTGTGACTGGCTTATTTCACTTAGCATAATGTCCTCAAGGTTTACTCATGTTGTAACATGTGGCAGGATCTCCTTTTTCAAGGCTGCATGATATTCCATTGTATGTATATACCACATTTAATTTATCCATTTCATTGTTTAGTTTCAGGGACCTGAATTCCTACCTATGCTGATGGGTTCTGGCAGTGTTGCTGAAATCCACACGTTAAGTGAATCACATACATGATGGCTCATGCCCATCTGCAGTGTACCTCATATGGACACAAAGCGGGAGACTTTCCAATATCCTTTTGTGGCTTTATGTTTCACAGGTTATATCCTCACTACCACCCAACCCTGTTAGGTGGATATTAACTAGATCATGGTGTCTCAACCTTAGTATCTGGGGGCTCTGAAATACTAAGAGTGTTTGAATGCCTACTATGTACCAGCCATAGAACTCCCTGAGAGCTCAGTGTCTAATAGGGGAAGTCAGAGATGGGAACAGTTCTGTACACCATGCTGAGTCCTGTCACCAAGGGCCAGAGTAGCATCCCCAAGGGGACAGCAACAAAAGACTGACCTTGGCCCAGTATTCTGAGGAGAGTAGCAGCTGCCAGGGAAGAAGGCACATACCATGAAAGGAAGAGGAGATGTTCCCAGTGGGAGAAGAGAGCCTTTAGGATGGATCAGGTGGAGGATGTGTGGTAAGTAAGGGCAGGATAATACTGTCTGAGGATTCAGTTGCAATGGCCTTTTGTACCCAAGTGAGGAGTTAATACTTTATTTTGTTCTCCTGAGTGTGTTAGGGGATTGCTAGTCCAATGCAGTGCTCCTGGCACTAAATACAGCTGCAGGGAAAGCAAAGCCCCTACTGACAACTGAGTTCTCAACCCCTGCCTCATGCAAAGCTGGCTTAAGCTGTCTGCAATTACTGAAGAGGCCAGTAGGTGGGGCCCTTGCACAATGCAAGGAGCTGGACTCTATAGTTGAAGCTTGGCATTGTGTTATCCAACTTAACATTCAACAAATTCGGAGCCCCTGCTATGAGCCTCTGGATACAGAGATGAATAAGACATAGGCCCTCATTTGAGGACCCTTGGTTCTGGAGAGTGGAGAGGAGAGTCTGTCATCTATGAGAGGTCATCTGTTACCTGAAAACCAGCAACAGGCAACATGGCTCATAGAGGAACCCTGATGTTCATGTGGAACTCCCAACTTTCCCCTCAGGTCCAACAGGGCACTGGAGCTCCCATAAGGGGGGCCAGCCACAGGTCCCACTGCTTATGGAAACTGCAGACCTGTGTCCTTCCTATGCCTGGGAGCTCAGAGGCCCTGGTGCTCTCTCCTCTGTCTCCCCTCCTCTCCCAGCAGGATTGAGGAGAACATATTGCCAGGCTTCCATCTTCAAAGTGTATTGGAGGGTAGGTAGGGTACAGAGTATTTCAATAAATTAGCCTGTCAGACACAGAGATTCATTCAGTAAATGAGTGCTTACTATATACCAGGCACATAATTTGTGAGAGATGTTGAGGACAAAATCATGAATGAACAAAAAGCCAGACACAGTCCCAGCAACCAAAGTTTACCCAGTCTAATGAGGGGCAAAGATATTAATCCACACAAATAAGTGTATAAATATAAACTTCAGTACAATGAGGGCAAGGTACAAAGAGCTGTGAGCACATGTGACAGGGGAAAGTAGCCCACATAGTGGTGAGACTTCCTCATGGACTGGGTAGCCATGTAATTTATCATCTAAACTGGGGTGCTTTTTTTTTTTTTTAAGATTTTTTTTTTTTGATGTGGACCATTTTTAAAGTCTTTACTGAGTTTGTTACAATATTGCTTCTGTTTTATGTTTTGATTTTATGGCCTTGAGGCATGTGGGATCTTAGCTCCCTGATCAGGGATCCAACCTGCACCCCCTGCATTGGAAGGCGAAGTCTTAACCACTGGACAACCAGGGAAGTCCCTAAACTGGGATGTTTTTGAGAATGAAGGGAGAGAGATTGATAATTAGGCTGAGAGGAACAGGTGTGGATTGAGACTTTCCCAGGCAAGTCAGGACATAGGGTCACTGTGGTAATAGAT